TGTAGGCCGCATGGGCCCAACGGTTTGGCGCATTGTTGAGAACCGCACGAGGGAGGGTAGGAAGATAACACCCACCTGCATGTGGCCCAAATATATGTATGAAAGGGCAGTGTGATGTTTAAATACCCAATACACAACATCGATGCGGCACTTGCCTCACAAGCATGGCAGTCCCGTGAGAAGGTTCTACACCTACATTGATGTTCCTACACTTAGCACCGATAGGAGGGAATCTTGTGAGGCCATGTGATCAAACTTTGCCTGGCATGTTACCATGAGCTATTGTAACTGTAGCACAAAGCAAAAGGAATTCACCCTAGTCAAACCCCTTTCGAGTCCAGTCAAAGATGGAGACCGCGCGGGCCCTACAGATCGGAGCATCTTCGAGAACCACACGAGGAAGGGAAGGAAAACAACACCAATGAATGCGACCCAAATATATGTAACAAAGGGTGATGTGATGTTTAAAAACCCAATACACAACTTTGATGTGATGAAAGGGCTGTCGTGCAGGTCTACAATTTTCCGCATGGAAAACCCATGAATGCAATAAATGTCTCAAATATTGCAAGTAGGCCCAAAAAATGCCACGGCCTGGCATGTGATACATCCATTTTGCATCATGTTTTTCAATCACTATTTATTGTGTTTTAGATCAATATTTCTCTTTAGATGCTATTCCGACCTTTTCTCTCTTATTTTGCAAGTTTCACATGAAGAGGGAGATTGCTGGCAGCTGGAATCCTGGCCCTGAAAAAGCTACAGGAGAGGTAGATATTCTCCACAGCTCCAAATGACCTGAAAAATTAAGGATAATTATTTTGAAAATATATAAAAAATACTGGTAGAAGAATCACCAGAAGGGGCCACCAAGGAGCGATGAGCTGAGGGCGCGCCCTCCCTAGGGCGTGCCCTGTGAGCCGGTGGCTCCACCAGTAGCCCTTTGGGGCCCATCTTCTCCTATATGATTCTATTTGCCCTAGAAAAAAAATCAGAGGAAGACTTTCAGGACGAAGTGCCGCCATCTCAAGGCGGAACCTTGGCAGGAGCACTTTTGCTCTCCGGCAGAGCAATTTCGCCAGGAAACTTTCCTCCGAGAGGGGGAAATCGAAGCTATTGACATCACCAACGATCCTCTCATCATGGGAGGACCAATCTTCATCAACATCTTCATCAGCACCATCTCCTCTCAAACCTTAATTCATCTCTTGTATCAAATCTTTGTCCCAAAACCTCAGATTGGTACATGTGGGTTGCTAGTAGTGTTGATTACATCTTGTAGTTGATGCTAGTTGGTTTATTTGGTGGAAGGTTATATGTTCAGATCTTCAAGCATATTCAATACACCTCTGATCTTGAACATGAATATGATTTTTGAGTAGTTACTTTCGTTTTTGAGGACATGGGAGAAGTCTTGTTATAAGTAATTATGTGAAGTTGGTATTCATTTGATATTTTGATGATATGTATGTTGTTCTTCCTTTAATGGTGTCATGTGAACGTCGCATACATGACAGCTCACCATGCTTGGGCCTAAGGAAAGGCATTGGTGAGTAATAAGTAGATGATGGGTTGTGAGAGTGGCATAAGCTTAAAGCCTAATTTATGTGTTATTCCGTAAGGGCTAATTTGGATCAATATGTTTAATGTTGTGGTTAGATTTATCTTAATTCTTCTTTCGTAGTTGAGGATGCTTTTGAGAGGGGGTAATCATAAGAGGGTTGCTTGTTTAATTAAGAACAACACCCTAGCACCGGTCTACCCACATATCAAATTATCAAAGTAGCGAACGCGAATCAACTAAACATGATGAACGTGACTAGACAGTAATTTCCATGTGTCCTCGAGAACATTTTGCTTACTATAAGAGAGAACCGCCCAGCTAGTCCTTTGCTATAAAAAAATTTGGGCCACCTTGCTGCAGTTTTGTTACTAACTTACTATTGTTACTTGTTACTTGTTACGGATTATCCTATTATAAAACTATCTGTTATCGGTACTTTCAGTACTTGCAGAGAATACCTTTCTGAAAACCGCTTATCATTTTCTTCTACTCCTCATTGGGTTCAACACTCGTACTTATCGAAAGGACTAGATTGATCCCTTATACTTGTGGGTCATCAGCACGTGTTATATGATGACCTCCTTTGAGAGCACAAGAAGTTTCGGCGCCAACCAAGAAACGAGCCATGTATTTCCTTCACAAACCAGACATGTTCCATCTCGATAGCTAGATACTAGCTCCGAGACGGTACAATTTACAAGCAGCCTCCGGCCAGGCTTATGCGAAACATGCTCAAAATTTTCCCACACGGCACCTTGCCAGGTTCCGAATATTTACAACATCATATGGATTTTCGTGGATTTGAATGGCTGCATCATTCATACCCCCGAGGTACAGTCGCCCCCGATGGCGGAGCCTGTCCCTCCTTCGGCTGCACAAGGCCTACACATGTCGCAAAGACATCATATAGAATTTTCCAAACCACTTTTGGACATGATTTCATGTGGCCACCGTGAAGATCTGCAATTTCCCTGCGTTAAAACCCTAGGAATGTAACAAATGTCTCAAATATTGTAGGTAGGCCCAAAACATGCCAGAGCCTGGCTCATGTCATGCGATGGTCTCCTTTGAAAGCACAAAAAGTTTCAAGGCCAATGGGGCAACGAGCCTCACAGTCACACTTCCTTTACAAACCAGGCATGTTCCGAGGAAAATACATGGTCTCGAGAGGGAATATGTCATGTTTAAAGGTGATGTGACCACCGTTTCACTGCTGGCCTTGAATTTTGTTTTATACTCACGATGCACCATTGTATGATCCATGTCAAAATTTGGCATCTTTCAGGGTCCGTTTACTATATTTAAGCCACTAAATTTATTTCTATTCTAGGTATTTAGTGAATATAATTAAAAAATAATACAAATTGATGAAAAAATTACCGATAATGTCTTAATAAATAATGTTTGTGTTGACAAGTCTATGTTTAAGCCTTATCAAAAAAATGTGAAGCAAAAGTAAGAAATACAGAAAAAAGAATAAATTATGTTTGCATGGTGCATGTTTTATGCATTAGATTTGTCTTGTTATAAGCCGAGTGCCTTCAAAAACACTCGACATAGGATCTTGCATACTGATTGGTCAGTGCAGGCCTCCCACGATTTATGGGTCATGACCGTTGAATTCGCTTAGTCCGACGGCTGTGAGCAGTTATCGCAATACAAACTGAGTGCCGCCAAAAAGGAAAAACACGCTGCTTGTACCCTTGCATTCTGATTGGTCAATATAGACCGTTGGATTCGGCTTAATCGGACGGCCCTGAGTAGCTATCTTATCTGTCCCATCTCTCACTCTCCTTATCTCCTTCTCTTTTCTCCTCCCCACAGTACGCAGCCGCCGCCGCTCCTTCTCTCGCTCGGCTCGCCGCCGCTGCTCCTCTCGCTTGCCTCGCCGCCTACGCTCCTCCTCTGGCTCGCCTCGCCGCCACTTCTCCTCCTCTCGGCCAAGCTGGTCCTCGTCCCCTCTTTTCTCCTCCTCCTCCTCTCCACCTCTTCCCCTCTTCCTCTCTCGCGAGTAGCAGCAGCAGCGGAGCAGCAAGTAGCAGCAGTAGGGAGCACCAGCGGCGGCAAGCGAGCATCAGCAGCGGAGTAGCAACAGCAAGCAGCAAGTAGCAGAAGAAGGGAGCAGCAGCAGCAAGCAGCGGCGGCGGCAAGCAGCAGCAGCATCAAGATGATTGATTCTTGCCGGAAGGAACACACGTACACAGCTCCTGAATCTGATTCTTTTCGTATTGTACACATGCCATTCGCACACAAAACCGGTGTATTGCTATTGCCACAAGCTCGAATCGGGCCTGTTTCTTTTCGTTTATTTCTCGTCACTGTTCAGTGTTTACAAAGGGATATACATGCGTGTATATACCGCTGGTGGCCCACGGCGGCCCTCGGTTTATGTATAAATCGGGCCGTGTACTATAAGCCAAGAGTCGGCTTATATATAAACTGAGTTCAAATTGGCAGAAGCCGAGTGTATTAGATACATGGCTTATAAATCTTTCTTGTAGTGAAACTAGCTTGAACCAAGTCTAGTGTCAAATAGGTAGCTCAATTGGCACATTATGAAGCATAAAATTAGTTATATTTCATTGTTTCGATATTATTTTCTTTACCTTGCTAATATTATTGAATCCATAATAATGACTTGGTTTCACATTTACAAAATAGTTTTTGTAATGTTTAGAAGAGTCCCGATGCAAGTGGTAAGTTCATTTGTGCAGGAGAATTCAGGCTAAATTTTTATAAAGATAATCTAAATATGAATAGTCATTATCACATCTGTTGCCACAATTTATAAGCATGGGTACATGTCATTCTTGATCTGATATAGCATGGAATGAGCTTAATAGTAATTTTAGATACCCCTCCCTTCTGATCAGCGAAGAGTCTAAGTATGTATGTTCTTCAATTTACGATATTAGTGAGTATATACTGTTATGAGAATATTTGATTTATTTATTAGTAGGTGTTGTTTGGTTTATCTTTTTCGTAATGTTGCATCAAACCTGAGCTGCTTTTCTCAAGTGAGTTTATCTAAATATCCTGCTCATGCTCGCTCGTATCTATTCATTGTTCAGTGCTTGTCATTGGTTCTTTTGACTTCTTAATCTTGTAGACACGGGCGTTGATGGTGGACATGGTGGAGCTGAAATTTTGCACAAAAAGTTCATTTGCCCCAGTGGAAGTGCTTTGATGCTGTTTGATTGAGCAGGTAACCATCTGTTACTAGTATCACAATGCAATATTTTCCCTTCCCTTTAGTTTCCTTCGTGGGTGTTTTCTGTTTTTCTTTGGTGGTTGCTACATTGCATTTAATTTTTTCCATCTGTGGTTACCATATGACTATGCAGCCAACCAAATCGGCTGAACAAAGGCCGAGCAACCATATCCAAGTGGCTGCACCCAGAATTTAGTGTAGCTGGCGCCTCCACAGGTTGAACTAATGATCACGTAAGGATCCAGTGCAGATAACCTGCAGGAAAGAAGCTCTTTGATTGTTAAAAACAATATTATTGCAATACCTTCAAATAGCCTTAGACTGAAGCGCAAACTCCAACATTATTAGACTAAAGCACAAACTCCAACCCAGATTTGAGCTTTTAGTTGTTTATTAACACATCCTAACCAGTTTTCTGAAATAGAAGTTAGTAATGTACACCTTGAGTTGAGCTTCTCCAACAATGGTGCCATCATCTTGCTCAAGCTGAAAAAAATAATCTTTTTTACGATGCTTCCTATTTGCAAGTAAAATGTTGGCAAAGCAAGGATGGCGTCTAATCCAGTCTCCAGAGTCACTCTGTGCACAAGTCCTCCGAGCCAAATACTTTCCGGCTGGTGATATTCTTACTGCCGAACCAATGAAGGGTATGAGCTATGTATGGAGAAGTATACTGAAGGGTATTGAAGTGTTAAAAGAAGGTTTAATCTGGAGAATTGGCAGTGGTAGCAATGTTAGAATATGGGAAGATCCATGGATTCCACGTGGAGAGACGCGGCGACCATCGTCCCACCAGGGCCGACGCCTTCTCTTGCGCGTGTCTGAACTTATAAACCCAATCTTAGGATCATGGGATCATGATCTGGTAAAGGGATGTTTTCACCTGGATGATGTCCCAACGATTCTGAGTATACCCATCAGTGAGAATGCAGAGGATTTTTTGGCTTGGCACTTTGATAATAAAGGTTTTTTTTCTGTCAAATCTGCATATAAAGTACATAAGAATATGCTCAAGCGAGAGGCAAATAGGCAAAGTGGCCAGGGGTCTATTTCTGATGATCATAAGACAAAGATGTTTACGGATCTTTGGAAGGTTGTATGTCCGCCCAAAGTGCATCACTTCTTGTGGAGACTAGCACATAACAGCCATCCTATGTATATGAATATTAGTAGGAGAGGCATTGAGCTTGATACAATATGTGTTGCGGGAGATTATTTGAAGATGGGGGCCATCTTTTCCTTAAATGCAAGTTTGTTAAACAGAGGTGGCAAGCGCTGCAAATGGAAGAGCTCAGGATGCAATTGGCTAACTGCTGCTCTGCTAGGGAGGTGTTGCAAGCTATCCTGAGACGGCCTGACGAAAATAAACTGCTGACAGTTGCACTTTTGTGGTGCCGTTGGACAGAACGTAACAAGGGCAGACATGGTGAGCGACAGATGAGCCCTGAAGAATTTCAGTTCACAGTCCGCAGGCATGTCAGCGAATGGATGGAGTTCCTAACACCAACGCACTCTCCCCATCCTAGCCCTCAGAGCACCTGGAAGGCGCCTCCACTGGAAATGGTGAAAATTAACGTTGATGGTGCATTTTCAGCAGAGACAGGAAAGGGTGGTTGGGGCCTTATATGCAGAGACTCTTCTGCGGAAATTCAGTTTGCAGCGGCTGGCATGGGGCAGAATTATTTGAGTGCCCTTCATGCGGAAACAGACGCCCTTCGTGACGCTGTAGCCCTCTCAGATCAGTTAGGAGTGGGCAGAGTCATTTTTGAAACTGACAGCCTCTCCCTTGCAAATGCAATGACCTCCACCGAGTTTGGCTATGCACTTTTGGGCAACCTGTTCAGAGAACTAAAGCTGAAGCTGATCACTGATTTCATCCAAGCAAGTGTAGTACATGTTATCCGTGACTGTAACAAGCCAGCTCATCTGCTGGCGGTGTTGGGTACAGGGTTAGTTAACGGCGGAGACTACCAATGGTTTGATAGCTACCCTGATGATGTAACCCTGCTGTAACCGGCGACTCGGACGTGTCTTAAATGGAATACGAGTGTTCCATGTCAAAAATAGATAAAATAAAAAATGGAAGCACTTCATATTGCTGCCCCCCTCCTGAACATGCTTCACTATAGCATGTTAGGTCCATTTCAACTCTTCTTCTCTCATAAGCTTAGTGGTCCGCTCATCAGCATCACTCTTGATAGATCATTCCGCTGCACTCATCGGATTTAGTTCTGCCTTAACATCCAGTTGATCAATCAACTGAAGTAAGCCCTCTTTTTTCTTTCCTGTACCCCCCACTGAGACTATGAGCCCATCCCTTTATGAAATCAAGCATGCCTTTTCTCTACTTTGATCAAGTCGTAGACTCCTTGCTAATTAAGGTCAGTTTATGCTAAAGGGAAACGAATTAGTCTTATTGACTGATAAAACAAATGAGAGATGACAGTTCACACGTATTGACTTCAAAAAGTCTCACTTGCTTGTTACAAGTGCTAACATGAACTCATGTTAATTGCGAGATCCATCTAAACAGAGTCACAATTGACCTACTAAACTAATTATAAGGCTTGAGGGGATATCGGTAAATGACTAAGTGACCGGTTTGTTTTAAACCAACTGAAAATATTGCTGGATACCCACTGTCAGTTCCTTCCATATGAGGGGAGAAACTATGACTTAACCATCACAGTTGATCTTGGTTTGTCTTTATTCTGATCAAGTCCTAGGCTCCTAGGTAACTACCGTCGGTCTATGCTGAAGGGAAACGATTAGTCTCGTTGAATGACAAACAAATGGGAAGAGTACTATTCACATGTATTGAGTTCACAAGAATTGCACATGCTCGAGTGCTTGCTGCAAGAGCTCATGGGCCATGTACGAGATCCACACTCACACAGACCTGACTCTCGAGGAGATATCTGTACATGACCAAGTGGCTGGTCGATTTTTTAAATTGATCGGAAGTGCCGCTGGATATCAACTGTGGTCCTTTTACGTGGCTAGAAAATATCGAACACTGAGCTTTTTCTTCATTTTAGATGAAAAGGGGAAAATATGAAACAAGCACATTTGAGCATAATTTTGTTTACTTTGTTGAAGTCCCAGGCTCCTGGTTAATCAGAGTAATATATGCTAGGGAAAAAACATTAGTGTCTCACTGAATGATAAAAGAAATGTGTGATGATGACCATCGATTGAGTGTGAGAAATAGCTAGCATTGATGGCAGATCTATCCACATGGCCAAAAATAATACGATTATGGTGCAAGTCAACTCTGCTAGATGCTGATCCAGATGTTGCTGGCAACTCACCAATTGGGTGGTATATTAATTCCACCCTGGAGAGAGAAGACAAAACTTATTAGTTTCACGCAATACATGGATATGCTGGCAAGCATGAAAGAATCTCGACTGTCAATGTAAGCTGCAGAAATGGAAATGGTAAGAAAGAATACAAGCTGCAGTTGCAAGTTGCTCTCCTGATTGCCGCTATATCTTTTTATTAAGTGATTGGCTATATATCGGTATATCGCTGTTAGCAGAATACCACAGGACCCCACCATCGTCAGTATATTGGAGAATGATCTGTATGAAAAGTTAGTGCTAGAAATTTAATAAATTATGCACAACCGCGTCTGCAGTTATTTTACACAACCAAAATATACTGAAATGTATAATATCAAACTGATGCCCATTTTAAATTGGTCGTGGTTGCACACAACGCGCTGACAGTTGAGCAAACTATGATCGCGTACAAGTATGCAATAGTTAATCTGGTACTAGTAGTTAACAAAGAGGTTACTTGGCCCTGTGGGTCGCATATTGTGGAGTCCCATACCACTAAGCTCCAAGCTCTATAATACCTTGCATCAATTTCTGCCATATATTCCATAGTTCCATACGCTGGCTTAGACTCATACTTCTCATCACCACCAGCATTGTCAAAATGGGCGAGAGCAGAGGAAGCATCGCCTTCTTTGCGTGCTACAGGCCTCCAGTGCCCCTGGACATATTCTGCTGTCCAGCTTCAGCATCATCAAGGCAGGACGAGCGGCACTTGACGGATGGCGTCTCGTACAACTACAACGGCCAACCCATTCCATCTGCGGCCCTCAAGGCGATCGTCAAGCACCTAGATCTGGCTCCTGAAGACGTTGAAGAAGCCGCCATCGATTCAGGCCGTCTCACCGGCCTCGTCTTCGTCTCTGAAAGACAACACCACCTCGAGACTCTTCAGATAGGCCTGCGCTTCGATGATGGCGACGAAGTCAGGGTCTTCACCTTGGGGGACATCTATGGCGGCGACTTTTTCAGTGGTGCCCGTCTGGAGGACAGCGGCTGCATCGCAGGAGGCTACGAGGTGGATGGTCACACAGCTGACCATTACCTCGTCTTCGTGTCCACGAAGGAGCCCGTGCAAGAACGCCGTAGCCCCTGGAATGTCGTCTACAAAACTAATCTCAGAACAGGCGAAACTGAGCGCCTAACTCCACCAGGTAATTTGGTTGTTGAATCTTATCTTCCTTTTGCTATTTGATCTACTACTTTGTACTTATCTCTCGATATATGCATGACTAATTTAGTTTTGAGCCCTTTCTGAATCTTCTTTCGAATTTGATCTACTTCTACTTGTCCTTGGATGCATGGCTAAATTTCTGCTTAAATAATATTTGGTTTGTCTGTTTAATTCTACATACATAAACAGGGACGTCCGATTTAAGCCCCTCTGTGTCACCATCTGGGAAGAGAATAGCAGTGGCTTCGTTCCAAGGAAAGAAATGGGATGGTGAAGTTAAAGACTTGCTGACAAGCATTTACGTGATGGACCTAGAGAGCACATATCTGGAGCGCGAGCGGGTGATCGAGAACGCTGGCTGGCCATCATGGGGAAGCGAAACAGTACTGTTTTTCCATAAAATGGTTGGGGATAACTGGGGTGTATTTCGGTACGACTTGAGCACCGGTGAGACCCTCCGTGTGACCCCGGAGGCATTCGATGCAGTGACTCCAGCAGCCATCGATGAGAGCAGAGTGGCTGTGGCAACCATCCGCCAGAAGTCTGTGTTCACTGACGTCCGTACTGAAGCGCAGTACCGTCACATCGAGATTTTTGACATGAGTTTGCCGGAGGAGCCACTTCAAATCACTCGGTATACCAAGCCAAAAGGCGACCATTACAACCCCTTTGTAATGGATGGTGGCAAGTACATTGGCTATCATCGTTGCAAAAGCGACCATCTCGAGGTACCTACCCTTGTGGCTATGCCCTATGCACAATGATTTGCTTGTTCAGTAGTACACACCTGCACAGTTACATTACATTAATTATACTTCCCCCGTTCCAAGTACATTATCATCATGGGAAGTATTTTCATGTTTTATTTATTTTGTATTGTGGATGTTGATATTTTATTCCGTAATCTTGGTAAAACATACATATATTTGACTTGAACAAAAATTGATGCACCTTATTTTCTGGAATGGAGTATGTAGTGATGTTGTTCAAGCTGTCTAAAACATTGTGTCTCCTGCAGCATGGAGATGATGTCCCGAGGCGGTTCGACAAGCTGCAATCCCATCATGAGGATATTGGTCTGTTTAGGGTTGCCGGTGCATTCCCGGCATTTTCCAAAGATGGCTCTAAGCTTGCATTCGTCGATAACGAATTCAAAGCCGTGTGGCTGGCCGATAGTGACGGAATGCGTGTTGTCTTCGAAGTAAGTACACCATGCCCCTTTATCTTTTGGTTCAAAAGAATGGATGATGTTGCGACTTTTTATGACTGGCCGATTGTTATTGACTCTGTTTGTATTTGTGTACTTGTACATATAGACGGATGGCCCCGATGGCGTCTTCTCACCGGTGTGGAACCAAAAGAAGGATATACTTTATGTCTGTATGGGACCGTCTTTCAAAGCCAACGAAATATTGGAGATCTATGCCATCCCTCACGTATCGAGTGGTGCACGAGAGCGGCGACTGCTCACGAAGGGAAAATTCAATAATGCATTCCCATCCACCAATTCAGACGGTAAGAAATTACCACTACTGCAGCCTTGCTTCAGTGGCTCCATGAGTCCTCTAGTCCATTGAATATGAATATTGTTTCCCTTGGCATGGTGATAACTTTGTATACCTCTCACGATGACCGCTGTATATTTGCATTTATGTATATATTACACTTATACAGGGACAAAACTTGTTTTCCGATCGACAAGAAATGGGGGAGACAAAAAGTACAAGAATCTATACATGATGGACGCAGAGATCGGGGAGGACGGTGGTGAAGCGGAACGGATAACAGAGGGCGATTGGATTGACACACACTGCCAGTGGTCGCCGGACAGGGACTGGATCGTGTTCTCGTCAAACCGTGACAGGCCCGCGGACGCTCCGGAGCGCGACCATGGTATGGACCCAGGGTACTTTGCTGTTTACCTGATGAACGCAATCGACTACTCTGTGGTGAGGGTAATCCGGAGCGGGTATGACTTCTCCGGGCACGTGAACCACCCGGTCTTCAGCCCGGATGGGCGGAGCATCGTCGTGACGGCAGATCTTGCCGCGGTGTCTGCTGACCCAATGTCGCTGCCGCTCTTGTTGCATTCGCAGAGGCCCTACAGCGACATCTTCACCGTTGATATCGACCCGGATGACATGGAGAAGAACCAGGATGTGGAGGAGTTTGCCCGAGTCACACATAGCAGGTACGAGAACGCCACTCCTGACTGGACCGTGTTCTCGACTCACGATCCGCATGCGCAGTGGAACCTCCTGGTCATGGAGGACAACTACACCCCGGCGTGCCCGTATGCGCATCATGATGGGGGTGAAAGCTGGCACATGACAGGCCAGATGTGCATCCCGAAAAGGGTCTGTTGATCTTACGCCGCTATGTCGGAATGGCCCAGATAACTGTGCCTTTTGCCCGCTTGGGCTCATACTGTTGCTTGGATTTATTGCTTGAGATGTATTTGTAATTTCTGTTTGGATTGCTGTCTATTTGGGTTGGTGTTGAGGTGATTTGCCCGGACCATTTGCATTATATACATTTCATCTTGCTGTAATATAAGACTTCAGAGTTTTACACGATGATTCTGAATTGAGTAGCCCCTGCTATTGTTGTGGCAAGTTTTGTTAAAACCTAATGATGATATATTTACATAGAAAGGTTTCGCGGAGGTGATTTGCTACCTTTGACAGGGACGGTTTACATCATTCAAATGCTCAGCAACTTGAAATAGTTGTCCACACCTGCTGTGTGGTAAGTCCTACTAGCACCTAGCTCCCTGTCTTGCCAACAAAGTGTCTGCTCTCTCAACCGAGATCCAACAACTTCAGCAACACAACCTGACCGGATGGGATGAAGCCGCCAACTTTGTACAAAGGGGTTTTCATGATGTTGTTGTTCCTAAATACCAGCACGGTGGCCCTTGCAAATGCATTAGCATGACTTTTCATACACTGGAAATTTTCCAAAATGTTTATATTATGTAAACTGAAATATTTAGGTTATAATATAGCCACTACAATTTTTTTTGCTCAGGGAGTACTTGTGGATTACTTCTTTAATCATAAAGTTTGTAGACTTAATGATTAATATTACCAATTCAGAAACACCATATTATCAATCACATGAGCCCATATTATGTACTCCCTCCGTCCCAAAATAAGTGTCTCAAAGTTGATACACTTATTTTGTAACGGAGAGTACTATCTCCGTCTCAAAATGTAAGATGTTTTTGAGGCATCCTAAAGAAACGTCTTACATTTTGAGACAGAGGGAGTACTTCTGTTAGATATATGACTACAAATATAGTAATCAGCATTGGCCACATGACATTCAGTGTAGTTTGACTCATATCAAGGGCTGAATGTTGTTTATGTATAATTATCAAGATATTTTGGTTGACATATCAAAGGTAGGATAACGCTTGGATAACGCTCAGCATGTGTACCGTGTATAAATATTTTTCAATACAAATTCATATATGCAATGTGTCAGAAAGACTATACTATTGGAAACTTGTTTTGAATACGAATTCATCAGTATATATTAAAGTGGTATAGTTCTATGTAGTAGAACGGTTCTAACGCGAATTGTGGTAGTTTGACCGTATAAGGCACGAAACTAAGAGTGGGCAGATGGGCGTCCTCTCATATAATCAGATGAGCGCAAAAGCACGAGAAGCTTTTCCGCAAAGAAAAAAAGAGCACGAGGAACTGCGGGAATAATAATTAAGCACATATAGAGCTCCAGATGCGATAACGACTTGGTGCAAACAACAGCAGTCTAGAAATTAGAAACCAGTACTCCACACTTGACACATTACATACCCATGACACATCTGGCGAGACATCAACTAAGATAGATACCCGAAGCTCGAGCGGGAAATTCTCCACGTAGTACCACGGTTGCTGGGGAAGAGCAGTGCGTTGTCATCACTCACAGTCCAAACAGAAAACACACGACGTAGATCAGGAAGTATGCGAGAGGCCCAAACGCGCAGCCACAGAGAGAGCACACGACGGAGATGAGCGTCCCCGCGGCGCCCGGCGCCATCACCGCCGGGCTGGAGAAGGCGTAGACGGCCACCACGACAGCCAGGATCACGGCCAAAAGCATCGCCGACGAGGTGACGATGCGCCCTGGAAGTGAACGGCGGGAGTCGGAATGGATCGACAGGCAAAGAACGAGGTGTGGAAGGAAAGCGGGATGTCGAACGTATGGTATGACTGGTGGGTTCTTATACAGGCCTCCAGGCCTCCAACGCAATCTGCACGAGTTAATCGGTCCTCGGCGAGCGATGAAGGATTAATGTTGCATGTCCTGGGAACTACGAAGGCACGAGTTAATCAGAGCTTCACGTAGAGTAGGTTTGACCCGTTGTGAAGTTTAGGGACTTGTGCCTAGTGTTTGACTGAACAAGGATTCATCACCTTCTTATTGGTTCATAGTGACAGGAGGCAAGGGGCGGTGATCTAGTAGCTTTATATCTCCGTTTGTTTTTGGATTCAAGCTTGGCTACTACTACTACTCTTCTTCACGAGTTGAATCGAGCGGTTCAGATTTCTGAAGGTTGAGATTTTTTAGAGGAGAGCAATATTTCGGAAAGTACCGAATCCACGCCTTTGTTTGATACGGTGGGACGCTCAATTTCTGAAAGTTGGCATTCCAATCTCCCCAAGTCAATGGTTTTGGTTAGATTTGTGAATGCTTATGCTCAAACTTTTAATCTTTGTCATAGTACATTCATTGTATTTTTTGCAGAGAAGATGGGGGAATGGAGAAAAGAGTAAATTACAAGAAAAAAATGTTTTATGCTAGGATATCACGGAACAATCATCTTTGACGAAAATCACAAAAAAACCACCAACATTGGGACAGGTGTGTACTCGTGTTTTGACCGGCCAGGCCCACTTGCCGGATTGGCACGGTACAAGGCTGGTGGCCGACAAACGTTCAGGCGTTTCATTTATCGCCCCAGCCGATCCTCCAATTCGACCGCTTTTCCCACACTTTGGATTCCATGGTGACTGGTGGTGGAGGCCTTGATGCGTCGTTGTGGTGACGACATATCAGGCCTCAACCAAACGCATAATCGAGTGATGTGAAACAAATTTTGAGGAAAAAAGGAGGTGCCTCCTTCTACTGGGAAGCTTCTGGGACCCACCATGTTAAACTCTACAAATTAAGTTTTCAGTGTAATCAACAAACGAGAAGCATCGAAAGAGGACTGTACAGGGAGAGGCTGACGGTATGGACCCAACAGGTTTCACATGACTTTGCATCTTGATCTTCCGGGATGCGGACTTGTTCCCCACGCGCTTCAAAGTCATTGGTTTGGACTACCACATCACGCTCGTCTTCGACAATCACATTCTGTAAAATGACACAACATGCAATCAACTGTCACAAAGTGTGTGGTTCCCGCATCATTGCAGTTCCCCGAACAATTCTGGCTCCAACGAGCTTGAAACACTCCAAATGCCCTCTTCACATCCTTCCTAGCTGCTTCCTGCATTGTTTTAAAGTGGCTTTGTTTGTTGCCTTATAGATCAGATATTGTCTTCACAAACGTCGTCCATTGATGATAGATACCATCGATAAGGTGGTACCCCATGTTGTAGTCGCGGTCGTTGAAAGTGTAGTTGCACGGCGACAATCCCCCATTGCAAAGTATCCTAAACATGGGACATCGCTGAAGAATATTGATGTCGTTGTGAGAACCAGGCATTCCGTATAAAGCATGTCAAATCAATAAGTCATGTCATGCCATTGCTTCCAGTATGATGTTGCCCTCTTTTGCGTGACCTTGGTACATCCCGCGCAAACCTTCGAGGCAGCTCCTCCAATTTCCAATGCATGCAATCAACTGAACCAAGCATACATGGAAAACCTCTTGCCTCTCCAATAGCCAACAACTTTTCTATATCGTGCGCATTTGGCTCTCTCAGATACTCTGCTCCAAACACCTACACTATGGTGCGGGTAAACCTCACAGTGGTATTTAGGCATGTGCTCTCTCCCATCCGGACCATCTCACCAACTACGTCGGCGGCGGTACCAAGTGCAAGCATCCGCAGAGCAGCCGTGCATTTATGCTTATCAGAGAATGATAGTTGACCGCAACAATCCCTGGTGAGTTTGAAGTAGTCATCGTGTGCCTCGATCCCCTCCATAATTTGCAAGAAAAATGCTTTGCGCATACGGAAACGGCGATGAAACCATGGTTCATCAGGGAATGTTGGGTTTGGAGCAAAGTAGTCACTGTAGAGTAGCCGTGCTCCACACACCCTATCATGGTTCATATCTCTTCTCCCTTTGATTGAGCCCTTGAAGTTGAGAATGTGCTCCACCTCCCGGTACATTTCCTGTTGGATGCTCATGAGCATCATTATCTCGTCTTCTTCGTCCTATTCTGACGAATCGAATATATTTTGAATCATTTCATCAAGCTCTGTAGTCCATACTCCTCATCTGATGAACAATTCAATTCCACTATTTTGCCTACGAATAAATCACAAAAAAATTCCAGACAATGTTTTGAACACATAGCAGGCAAGGTGTGGTCCGGGAGTTGTCGGCCGTACCGCATTGGCGCCCGGGTCGGCAGCGATGTATGCGGCGGAGAGAATGGATTGGAGGACCGTAGTGGCGGTGCTAGCAGCACCAAGGGCTCAGAACGGCACCGGAGCAAGGGTGGTGGCGGAGCTAGGAGAATACCAACATGGAGGAGGAAGAAGATAGAAGAGGAGCAAACACTAGTAGAAAAAGGGTCTAATGTAAGCACATTAGTCCCGGTTTGTAACTGGACTGGCACTAATGTGACTATTAGTGCCGGTTCAAACGGCTAGCTGGGAGGTGCTCATTAGTACCGGTTCGTGGCTAACCAGTAGTACCAGTTCGTTCCACGAACCACGAACCGGTACTAAAGAGGTGGTGGCAGGCTTTTGTCAAGCTGGGGCCCCACCAGCACCTTTAGTACCGGTTCATACCACGAACCGGGACTAGAAGTTCACCGTTAGTCCCGGTTCACCTAACAAAGCGGGACTAAAGATATCACTATATATAGTGCTTCGTCCAGCCCGAGCCGAAGCGCTCTATTTTTTCCCTCCTCTCTGTTTTTCTTCCCCTCTTGCTCGAGCTCACCTTCATTTTTGCCAAAATTTGTGAAGATTTGAAGGCACCCCATCCATCCAAGTGATCACAAAGGTTAGCAACTTTGTCATTTCATCTCTCATTGTTAGATTATCTCGTGCAATGCTCTATAAGTATAGTGATTTGTGGGTTTTATTTTGGGAGGAATTATATGTGGTAGTATTTGATTTATATGCAATTTGAGGTCAAAATAACTCTTAGTTTGCATATGTAAGTGTGG